CGAATAATTACCGTGTGCGGATATATGATAAAATCATGTTTTTTTCCGCTGTAGAATGGAGATTCAACTATGCCATAGGCAGGGAGCTTTCGGGGTTGGTTTCATGGATCCCTGCAAAACTAACTATATGCATGTACGGGATTTTGCAAAAGAAACATACGAAGTAGGATAACAATTACCATTTTCTAGTGCAGCAACATTATAAGACCTATATACTAGTCTTATAACACAACGTGAGTTTTTACCGCCTTTTGTACCAATTTCTTTCTTGTATTTATACCGTGACATATATATCATCTCATGCAACTTGCAGATTCCATTAGGTCTTTTTTGTCATAAACATCCCTGCAAGTAAGATCCATGTCTTAGACTCTATGGAGAAACCGGAGGAAACTTTCACCCAGATTTTTCAAATGCTAAACAGAAAATGCCGTCCATTCCACTGTCATTATGATTGCCACTATGTGGATCTTGGATAATTAATCATAGTTTGCAAGTATAGGGTATGGGCACGGTTCCATATAACCGTACCTGGGGTATTTAAAGACGGACTGGATGTGAGTATGGACTTTCCAGTATGTACCTGCTCCAAAATTATATATCTTATTTGTTCTAAAATAGAAATATATAATAAATCTCTTGTTTCTCCTTTAGCGTGCACGACATGCACAGGGGAACAACTCGCGCGGCTACTACGTTTGTAACTATATGCACACCATAACACACAACATCGACAGTGATAAGGATATGGAAGTACGTAAACATCATTCATACATTATTTTACACACTTCTTATTGATTTCATATATTTATATTTTTTTCAAATGATAGATTATTTGGATGAATGAGGAACTCTCGCACGTGAAATATATAAAGGTTGTTCAAGAACAACTGATGGAATTTATCATGGATGAGAATTCCACGACGATGGAATACCTATTCGTCAACCCCACCCTTTCTCTTAGATTTTGTAATATATGATAGAATATTAGAAATTAACAACGATTGTAATATATATATATATATATATATATATATATATATATATATATATATATATATATATATATTCTAGCAACTATATGTTATTGTATATACTTATATGTCTTTAAATATTAATCATATGTGTATGTATGTCTTTATATCTATATATATAAAGACATATATATATATATATATATTTATATATCTATGTATTTATGAATATATATGTATGTTTTTACATATATTAACATGGATTTATACATATATATGCATATCTATAAAATAATCACCAAGCAGTAAAAAACATTTTTTAAAAAAAAAAACTTTAGTACCGGTTAGTAAGATGGATTTTTAGTCCCGGTTATTTTTGCCGGAACTAAAAATAGCCATCTTTAATATTGGATTGTGTGTTTCGGTTGCACAATTGGAACTAGGAGGGGCAGCGAATTGGGAGCAAAAATGACCTCGCCAGCAGTGATATGATCCTACGCTTGCATGACTTTGTCAATGATGATGTGGATCCATGCATGTATGTGCTTGGTGTTTCCCCTGACTGCGCTATTTGGTCTCGAATTGATTAATTGCTAAGACTTTGCCGGATGCCAAGCTTCGTCGCCTACTCCCAACTTGTGTATCCACTTGGCGGAGACCTCATCCTGAATTCATGGTCATGTTGTTAGAGCACCCACAGTGGTAAAGTAAGGTGCTCTCTATAAAATATGTACATCTCGGCAATAGACTCGATTAATAGTAAACCACCTTAATAGTATGTCTACATTGGTATCTATAGCTCTCTCATGCATTGCCTCGTTTTTCTCTATAGACTATCTCTAAGTTAGTAGATAGCTTTGCTCTCTCTCTTCTTTTAATACATTCCAAGTAGGAAAATATGCTGACATGGATCTCTTGTAGAGAGCCTATAGATAACCATTGTGGGTGCCCTTAGCCGCCAGCTTAGAGCAAGTATAATAGTGAGCTATAAGCCTACTATAAGCATATGTGGAGGAGGGATGTAACAAAAAATTAAGGGTGTTGGCTCTCATGCAAGAGCTAGCTTAACACAAGCTCCAAGACAAATACAATTAATGTATAAGTGAGAGATAAAGAGAGGAGAAGAAAATTATAGCCAACCTTATAACTAATCTATTATATGTGTTGGCTTTAAGATTGGCTAATAGTAAGAAGTGAGCTCTATTATTATCCTTGCTCTTAGCCAGCCACTTCACAGTATTGTCGCCCGTCAATTCTCTGGCAAATAGTGCTAATCCTTGTGTTGAACCTCATGGTGTTCCACTCTAGTACGTTGCTGTGGTTATGAGATTAATTATGAGTTGAATGGATCCTACGCGCGACGCGCGAATGACTTTGTCAATGAAGATGGATCCACAGAAGATGTTGATTGCTAGCATTTTACTAGTATTTTGCAGGATACGCAGTTTTGCCGTCGTCGCCTCCCAGCTTGTATATCCACCTGGTACGTTGCTCCAGCTCTTCATCCTAATCATGTGTATCGATTACTAGTAAAATATCTGTGCGTTGCCCTCAAGATTAATAGATTATTTAGTTGTCAAGTAGACAATGGACGTATATATAGAGTGAAATCTTTAGAGTACTCCCTTCGTTTCTAAATATTTGACACTGTTGACTTTTTAGCACATGTTTGACCGTTCGTCTTATTAAATTTTTTTATGAATATATAAAACTATATTTATACATATAGGTATATTTAACAATGAATTAAACGATAGGAAAAGAATTAATAATTACTTATGAATAAGATGAACGGTCAAACATATTTAAAAAAATCAACGGCGCCAAATATTTAGAAACGGAGGGAGTAGTATTATATATATAGTGTTTTACCCCGACCCTCTACATGTATCTCTACTCTGATTTGGATGACCCAAAAAATTAAAGTAAGTCACAGTGGCATATATATATATATATATATATATATATATATATATATATATATATAGGACACTCATATGGGGCACCATGGTGCCCGGGCACCATGGTATCTAATGCACAAAATCACTCAAATTTTTTCAAAATTTTCAAATTGTGAGTATATACCTAGTTATAATAATTTGATTCATACCTATACTTATCAACAAAACAACTCAAATTTAACTTTATTTCACAATCCATGATTACATACCTAACTAATTATATGTATGGATGCTATATACCTAGAATCAAAATCTAACAAAAACAAGTTCAAATTCAGTTCAAACTTGCTTTAAACTAGTTAGTAAAGTAGTTAATGTTAATACCTAAGTAATTGAAAAAGTTTCATGCTCATTTGAATTGGGTATATAGTAAATTTCAACAATGGTGCCCGGGCACCATGGAGCACCAAACAAATTTACTATATATATATATATATATATACCTGAGCATGACTCATCAAACATTAGCCCTTGATCATTTATAATGGTGCCAGCAACAAGCTGAGATCCACCACTGCTACAGAAACACGCATAGAGGTCGGCACTATAGACCTTTAAGCGATTATAGGTGCCAAAAGTGCTAAAACTGATACCTATAGACGTTTTTCTACCTCCGCAGTCTGAAAACATAAAAAAAATACACCTTTAAGCGATTATAGGTGTCGGTTCTATAGAAAAACCAACACCTAATACTGATTTAAAAAATATTAATATATTATAGGAGTCGGTTAACTAAAGTGGGATCTGGCATTGGTGCTGGTTTCTGCGGAGGATCCAGCATCAGCCGTGTCGGCGGTGGCCGTTCCGTGTCGGCCGCATAGGCGGCTGATGGGGAGGCGTTGATGGCGGAGCCTGTGATTTTTGTTAAGACTTTTGTTCATTATTTGTGTTCATGGTTTTTGTTGTGTGATTTGTGTTCATGATTGTGTTCTTGGATGAGGATCTCATGGGTGATTGGGAGCAGCTCGATGCATCGAGCCGCCTTTTTTAATTCTTGGAACCTCAAAGATGTCGGTTTCTAAACCGGCACCTTTGAGACAAGTGGTCCCCTGCTGTGTGCCGGTTGGGAAATCCGACACCCAAGGGGGTTTCCCAACCGCATCGATTGTACTTTCTGTAGTAGCACTAAGATCAATCACAATTCTTACAGAGACATGTTTTATCGATTAGGTAACTAGCTAGTCAGAAATTCAAACACAGTGAAGAAACAACTTCTCAACAGGAAAAATCAATCTGTTGCAAAAAAAATCAATCTAACAACAATAGATTGGACAGACAAACCGGCAGTGAGCATAAACATGTTGATAAGTGATAACGTGTTGTGAACCAAGACGTACAACACATCTATTAAACAATCACCATATCCATCTCATGTCGATCCCACAGTAGTAGAGACATGAGAAAACATATATGTTCCCTTTGCTCTCAAGATCATTCTAGAAGTAGATTATGGACATACAAATAGGGTGCAACTCTTAGATCTGTTCTTGAGTACAAGTAGTCTCAAATGCCTTAATTTTTTTTGAGACACATACAAACGCATGTGCTCATATACACGCGCGTGCAATAATCTCCATGAATACACACACACCATATCTAAACAAGCATAGCCAAAGATTGTGCTTGTATATATTAAGATTGATGAAGTTACCACATACGCCCCGATATCAATGTGTATATCGTCTACCACTGAAAGAATAATTAGTCGTAAATAGAAATACTCATGCCAAGTTGGGAAAATGGGAATCTACAGCTAATTATTCTTTCAGTAGTAGATCATGCACTTAGCTAGTTTGCCCAAAATAAAGGAATATTACATATCTTAAATGTGCTAGATTCGCCGTGAGCTCAGCCAATCCACGCCATCGAATTTTGCAGAAAACCCCTCGTCTTTTTGGTATTTCGGATTAGGTTAGGTTCAGCTGATCAGAGCCGTTCTTTCCCACGCGTGTACGAAATCTAGTTATCTCCAAAGGAGGTAAAATGTCGCTTGCCGCAGCCTTCAGCCCTGCATGTAGCCATTTGCATGTTGGCGTGGACTCGTTTAATTTGTCAACACAACTGATAGAAACATAAGCCAAGCAAACTACATAAATTGATATATGTCCTTAGAAATATACTCCATTTTAAAAGACGAACATATATATACTTGAGTAAAAGGTGCATATAAGTCAACAAGCACAATATAATACAGAGACACACATTCACATATTCATGGACGAGCTCGAGCGGCGACTTCCGAAATGGTTGGCCGGTCCTTTCCCTTAAAGTTGCAAGCAGCACGCTGTCGTCGCTCTATGACACCTTAAACTACCTCAGAGTTTGGCTTCGCGCCCGGCTGCGTATCTAGTACCTTTCTTACCTCCCCGTAGCGGAGGGTTCAGAAATATGTTTCAACAGGGATATTTGTGTGTCGGGAAACTATAATCCCACTTGATATATAGTGTAAATTCATTGTATAAGTAATTTACCAATCGATTCTGCCGATGGTCATCAGGGTTGGTTGACCCCGACGAATGTACTGCATATCCGCCCATGCACCTCAATGAGTGGTAGCGTGATGTGCATCGACAACTTCCAGCTATGAGCGGCACCAGTGTTCCCCTCCTCCTGCTCCTTCTTGTAAAACACTGCCTCTTCATCTTCATCTTCATTATCCCTGTAAAACACTTGCTCTTCATCTTCATCTTCATCTTCGTTATCCCTGTAAAACACTGCCTCTTCATCTTCATCTTCTTCATACCCCCTCTCCTCTTCCCTAGTAAACATTCTCTCTTGCTTCTCCTCCTCCCTATAAAAGGCTGCCTCTTGGCCCTCTTGCTCGTCCTCCTCCCTATAGAAGGCATCTTCCTCGTCCCTACAAAACACTGCCTCTTGCTCTTCCCCGTGTCCCGTAAACAATGTCTCTTGCTCCACGTCCTCCTCCCTATAAAACACTGCACTTTGATCTTCCTCCTTTCTATAAAATATTGCTTTGCTCTTTTCTTCCTCCCTATAGAACATTGCCCCTTGATCTTCCTCCTCTCTATAAAATGTTGCCCATTGCTCTTCCTCCTCCTCATCCCAGGCCTGGTACTGAAATTTTGGAGGTCCAGGATAAGATTAAAAAGGGCAGATTGAGGCCATATAATGTTAGTATTTATATAATAGCAATAATTCTTATTTCAAATAGGAAGGTAATGCTTAATACATCATTGAATGTAAACTATTCTAGTGATACTAATTGAATAACAAAGTGAAATACTATAAAATAATTCATTAAAGCCAAACTTCTCATGTATATAATATGTGAAATGCTCCTAAAAATTCAAAACACCATATGTCGAAATTTAGTGCAAGGCAACAAGAGGAATGAACCAACTGAAGAAGATTGTGTTATAGAGATACCAATTACCATGAAATCTCCTAAGAAGTCGTCATAAACAAGCCTGTTTACTCAAGCTTCCTATCTCAACCAGTCAACCCTAACAAAGAACTTTTGAACAAAAGGAAACCATCATGATTCTATCTAGTTTTTGTGCTGAGGGTGCTATTTAACCATAGTAAAATACATGATGGGATTAATGCCAGCAAAGAGTGACCTATTGCTTCTGAAACCATTTGAATTTGCCAACAAATGCATCCATTTTTTTTCCTTTTTGTTTGTTCGCTAGGGATGTAGGGAAAGAGTTGTAGTGGGGTGGGATGGCTTCAACAAAGCAAGCTACTAGGAAAGAAATACAAAACAATAAACCTAGGGGACTATAATCAAGAAAAAAAAAACATGCTGTGCACCTACAACACAAGCCCCACTACTAAGAACCAATCAGGATTGTGACAACCCGACGCACTGAACTCCATCCACCGCTTTGGGATTGAGGGGGAGAGGGCAAGAGAGAAGAAAGGATCCGCTCTCCCCCATGAGGCCTGCCAATGTGGCTATCTAGCATTGCCTAGGGCATCGCCGCAAGAGGACATACCATCTCGAGAGTGTTTGGAATGAAATGGCAATTCAAACGACGCCTCCAGGGAGGTTATAGCGTCAATGATGATGTCCGCCCCAGAAAACCAAGACTAGGTTTTTACTCTTAAAAGATTCCATAGGAGGATAAAGGAAAGACACCCACGACAATGCCCTTAGGGGAGTTGCGACGCTCGAATACGTCACCACTATCGGCCTTGGACGGGCTAGGCTTTCACTTAGAGATCTTCCTGCTATTTTGTAAGCAGGCGCAACTATTACCGAGCTTCCTGGAGATATTGCCTAGTGATTTTCATGTTTGATAGGCCAAGTTCCGAATTTAAAAAGGCTGCATATATCCGGTTGGATGTAGAGATCGAGTAAAAAATATCCTTCTCTAACAAAATATATATCAATATTTTCAACACAAAATAAATATAAAAATATATTCAATAATGGATTTAATGAAACTAATTTGGTGTTGTAGATATTACTGTATTTTTCTATAAACTTATCAAACGTAAAAAGATTTGACTTTGAAATAACTCAAAAGTGATTTGTAATATAAACGGAGAGGGTATATCTCTACTATTATAAAAATTGAAGATGTTTTTGCCGGTATTTTGGTACGTCATCCGTGTATGAGTCGGTTTTTAAGTTCGTTTGCTTTTGGAAATACATATGCATATTATTTGAGTCAGTTTTTAAGATTGTTCACTTTTGGTAATACAGAAGGAATCATATAAGAAATCTGTATAAAAACTCGCATGCTAACTTGAGACGATCGGACACCGAACTGCAGCTCATGATTTTCTAAAAATATATATATCCAAGCGAACTCCCACGGTGAATTTTATTTTAACTAAACCATATAACAATAATAAGAATAAAACAGATTTCACCCGTTGCAACGCACGGCTATTTTTTTTTCTAGTACAAGTATAAAATTGAAAGCTTGATACCATCATATGCGTTTCGGTTTGTACCTGGCGTTGGGATCGGGCGCCTGCATATGTATTACATGGTACGGTCGTGCAGCCTGTTGGATTCAGCGCGTTGTAGTATTCATCGAAGCGGCGCATCGTGATGTTGTGACTGGCCATGGGGAAGAGGCCAAGGTAGCCGTCGATCCTGCGCTGCGCCTCCCTGAGCTTGTCCGCCTGCCGCTTAGCCATCACAAACCGGTAGGCCGCGCTCCTCTCCTGGCAGGACACGATGAGTCGGTGAGCCTCACGGAGCTCGTTTTCAAGGCCGGTTAGCAGCTTCTGCATCGTCTCATCGCTCTCCTGCATCTGCGACAGTATCTCGTCGATCATGGAGACACGGCCAGCGAGCTGCTCGCACTCCTTCTTGTTTTGCCGAGCCGTTGCTGCCGCTTGTATGATGTTGGAGATTAGCCCACCTAAATCTACCCCGACAAGCTGCGCCGCCGTCGCCGCCTCACCCAGCCCACTCCAGAGCGCCATGGCAGTCTAGCTCGCAACTCAGGCAGGATGGCGTGGTTGCAACTTAATTGCAAGATAGTGGAGTAACTGACAAGAACACAAACGGATGATAATTCGATCAGTGAGGGGGTTCAGAGGCCAGACCGCACACGGGGAAACTTCCTGGAAAGAAGGTGGGTGATGGATGGCAAGATGGGGGTGTGGACATGGACTCATGGTCATGGACAATTGGACATGCTTTCTTATGGTGTGTTTGAGAGAGAAGGAGATAAGAAATTAAGAAGATAACGAAGTGAGCTTTTAACAAGCTGTACATGGTTAATTGAGTACTCCCTCCGTCCTAGAATATAAGCATTTTTTCCGTCCTAGAATATAAGCATTTTTAAAGTTGTACACGGTTATTAAGAAAGTATGTAGAATTAAATAGGAGAGGGTTGTGATTGGATGAAAAGTGGAGGTAGGTGGAAAAATTGAATTGTGGAGGGTTGTGATTGGTTAAGAATAGAATATTGGTGTTGAAGTTGTTATATTTTGGGACAAATTCTAAAAGCTAGAAGTTGTTATATTTTAGGACGGAGAGAGTATTAATTATTTTAAACTTTAAAAATAGGTTAATATGATTTTTAAGCAACTTTGTATAGATTTTTTTTTAAAAAAAAAGCACACAGTTTGACAGCTCAAAAAGGGTGAATTGTTAAAGTGGTCTTCCAAGTTTCATCTGAGACTCAATTTAATCCTTAATGTTTCAATCTGTCCATACTAGTCCTTTAAGTTTTCATTTTAGTTCAAACTTATCCTTAAACCCAGTTAGAAACAACATGGCTAAACATAACAAACAACTCTCTTGATAAATGACAGCTATACTCCCTCATTCACATATATAAGAGAAAAAAAATGAGCGTAATGATTTTTTTATATATAATGCACAATAATTTATGTAAAATAAAAATAAATTATGTACTTGCAAGTGTATACCATAGCCATTAACTTAAGTTTCATATGCACATATTAAAAGAATGAAAAGTATATTTACAATGTTGTTTATTCATTTTGGTTTTATCTTTTCTAGTGTATAGTTGTATACAAACTAAAGGCGAAAGGGACATTTTCTAACATAAATGTTGACTAGAAATAGCCATATGGCAGGTCCAAGGATGATTTTAAGTAAAAACAAATACTTAGAGCATCTATATGGATAAAATAAAACTTGAAGGACCAAATTAGCCTTCGCTGAAACTTGAGGGACTAAATTAGCTATTCACCAGCTAAAAACGTGCGCGCGAAAAATGAGATAAGGCCCCTTTGATTCAAATGAAATTCATAGGAATTTTAGAGGATTTCATTCCTATAGGAATTTTTTCCTACAAAGCCCTTTGAATCAAAGGAATGAACCCTATGGAATCCTATGAAATTCCTATGTAATGCCTCTTTCCATACAAGTTTTGGAGGAAATTTAACAAGAGGTAGAACCTCATGGAAAAAAATCCTTCCTCAAATTCCTGTGTTTTTCCTGTGGTCCAATCACGGTAATTCCTACATTGTTCCTGTATTTTGCAATCCTTTGTTTTACAGTTACATTCCTGTCAGAATCCTATGTTTTTTCTATTCCTGTGGGCCACGTTCGGCACCCCATTTTCCCAACCCCTCTCCATCGTTTTCCGCGGGTACGCTTTTCAGACTACTAAACGTTGTGTTTTTTGCAAAAAGTTTCTATACAAAAGCTGCTTAAAAATCAAATTAATCTATTTTTTAAAAAAAATAGCTAATACTTAATTAATCACGCACTAATGAATCGCTCTATTTTTCGTGCGGGTGGGATTAGTTCCCGTCCAGTGAATCCAAACACAGCCTGTCGTCTTGCATGGTCAAGGAAAGGGAAAGGCTGGAAAATGGAATGGCATATCTCCTGTGCAGCATTTCGTTGAATACGTGGAGTGCAGGCCACCACAGATCAAGGAGATGTCACACTGCGCGGCGGCCTGTCTCGACGGCCACTGCTGCGGTGCCTCGTCTGGACTGCTGGACGCCACCGGACGGCTGGACGATCACCTGCTAGCTCCAGACCTCCGGAAACAGGCGGAGCTCCCCGGCACATCGGCCACAGGATGCCACAGTACTGACAGTACTGTTTGAGCCAAAACCTCCATGAATCAATGAAGTATATATTAATAGAAATAGAATCAGGAGAGATATCGGGTGGATAGCTCTAGATATACATGAAATATAGATATACAACTAACACCCCCCCACAGTCATAACGTCGGTTCACTGAATATTAAGACTGGACCGAAACTCCGCAAAAATAGAACTAGGCAAACCCTTGGTGAAGATATCCGCATACTGTGAGGTTGTTGGGACATGGAGCACTTGAAAAGAACCGGGGCAGCGACGTGATCGCGAACAAAGTGAAGAAAGCCGATTTTGCTCGGGGGACAAGACATTAATATGCTCATAAAGAAATCAAGAGAGATGAACGGCGATGGATATAACATTACATCTACCTCATCTACCTCAAGCCATCCAACCCGCTTATTCTCGCTCTACACCGCGGCACCACCGATTCAAAGTCAAGCCATTGTTTTAATCCTTCCACTAATCCACCAGGCACCAGCTAACACAACATGGAAGCTAGCAGCTAGCTAGCCGCCCATGGCGCATCGACTCTCGAGGCCGCGGAGGACGACGGGAGCTGGGACTTGGGGCCGTGCTTTATCAGGCCAGCCCAAAGCACGACGGCTCGGCACGCTAAGAAGCACAGTCCGACCTAATAATTTATCGATAGGCGTGCCGGGCACGATAGGCGGCACGACACGGCATGACTAGTGGGCTGTGCTTGAGCCGGCCTGGCACGTAAATGGCCCGTAGGGTTTAAAATGATGTCATCACATACAGGACGAGCCATTGCTAGCACACTACTAGATGTACTGCACGAATTCGATTACAATCTAGGGTGGTTTCTATTACTCTTGACAATGCATCAGCAAATACAACGGCCATGGCGATTTTGGAGCCAAATTTTCAATGCTACATTGGAGGTTATGTTGTCCATCAGAGATGCATCTACCATACTATCAACCTGATTGTGCAAGCAGGTATTATCGTCATTGAGAATTTATTGATTTTTATTGCAAATAATTTATCGATTTTAATGCATCTTTGGCATCATGAACCTAATTGTCTAAGAAGGCATGGGTGTTATTACTAATGTACTAAACAAGATCCGTCAAGTTGTTTCAATCATTGGTCAGACAATGATGAAGGAGAGGTTCCGAGACTATTACCGAGCAAAGAATAAACTTGGGAGGATATTTGGCATTGACATGAAACATAGGTAGAACACAACATACCTCATGTTGCATCAACTAAAAGGGTACGAGAAAATAATTTATGTTTTCATCAATTCATTGCACTTTAGAAGTAATGATGCCGATAAGGATGGTGATGGTGAGATATTGCTTCTTACTAAGGAAGAATGAGACATAGCAACACGTCCACGTATATTCCTAAAGCCTTTTTATGAAGCTACAGTCATGATATTATCTGGAATTTACTATCCTACTTCTTGTAAGGTGCTTGAATGCCTTTGGAAATTGTTACTTGTGTTTCAAGAAAATCAACATGATAGAATTTTAGCTTCCATTGTTCAACCCATGCAAGAAAAATTTCTCAAATATTTTACTGCTATTCCACACCATTATTGCTTTGCTTTGGTACTTGATCCTCATAAAAAGATGGAGGTTGTGAAAGCTGCTTTCATATCAATAGGTGATGCAATGTATCTTAATTATTCTAAACCTTATCAACATGCTAAAGATAAGTTGTTCAAGGTGTTCCGTCTGTACCAAACTAAGCTAAGTGTTGCTTGCCAGATGCCTGAGGAAACCCCATAAAAAAAAGCAAAGCAAATCAAGTGCAATGAATTTGTGGAAGAAGATTGGGGGCAAGGAATAAGCCTCCTCATCAAGGAGTAGGTTAAATTGGAACCCAGATGCAGAGCTTAACCATTGCCTCAACACCAATCACACAGAACATGATCAAACACTTGATGGTGAAAATGTTGATCTCCTTGAGTGGTGGAAAGAGAAAGAACGGACTCTTTGTGTGCAAGCTCAGTTTGAACGAGACATTATATTGGTTCTAGCGTCTGCTATGTCTTCGGAGCATGCATTTAGTGAGGTTGGAAGAATTATTGATGAACAGAGGTCATGCGTTGCACCTGAGACAGTTGAGGCAATCTATTGCCTTAAAGACTGGATGGACGCAGATGTGATCTATTGCCTTAAAGACTGGATGGACGCAGATGCGAGGACGCAACACCGGCTAGAGGATACAGAGATTGCCGATGCAGCAGCAGATGCGTTGACGGAATTTGGCATCAACACTGATGGCAATGGTGCTAATCAAAATTAATAATGTAATTTATGTGATAGTGTAAGCAAGTTGTTGTACTCTTCTCCTTACCAGGGGAGCCCTACTCTAGGGCGTAAGGTTTTTAACGAGGCAACAACCTTGTATCCCTATTATGAATAAATTTGTTTCCCCCTATTTTTATCTCTCACGTTATTTGTAGTCGGTGTGAAAAAAAATAAAGTGCATATTTTTAGATGAGGTAAATCAAATATCGGTATTGCAGAATGTGACCATATCATCCCAAAAAAAAAAAAAATCCCCTCCTCTATTTCAGAATTCAAATTTCCATCCCAAAATTTCCCTCCTCTATTTCAGATTAAGTCTACTCTCTCCGTCTTATAAAAAATCAATCTAGTACCGGATGTGACACATCCTAGTACTACGTATCTACTCCCTCTGTCCCAAAAAAAGACAAACCCTGGTTTCCGTGCCCAACGTTTGACCGTCCGTTTTATTTGAAAAAATTATGAAAAAAATTAAAAAAGACAAGTCACGCATAAAATATTAATCATGTTTTATCATCTAACAACAATGGAAATACGAATTATAAAACAATTTCATATAAGACGGACAGTCAAAATTGGACACGAAAACTCAGGGTTTGTCTTTTTTTCAGAACGGTGGGAGTATATACATATGTCCATATTTAGTTTGTTAGGACAGAGCGAGTACACATGGTCACAGCCCATCTGCAGGGGTAGCTGGCAGCAGGTCAGCTCATCGACATCGGGCATTGAGGCATTCTGCTTGACAGCTTGAGCAGCTTTTTTTTTTTTTTTTTTTTTTTTTTTTTTTTTTTTTTTTGCGGGGGAGCTTTGACTGCTTCCATTCCAATTTC